CAATTGTTCTCGTTAACCGTTTGGTGCTCTCGCACTTTAGCTGAGCGCGAAAGCGTGAGCGAGAAAGCAGCTATAATTATTACTTGCTTAATTTTTTATACGCGAAAATATTTAACAACACATTGAAAAAAAGCACATGCACATACACATAGACACACATATGCACAGACACAGACACATACACACAAGCACTCACGCACTCGCACACTATCAAATGAGCTGTTGTTGTTGTTGTTGCTGCTGCTGCTGCTGTTGCTGTTGTGGTACTGTTATATTTTTTTGGCGCTCAAATTTGTGAGCACTGCTTCTTCTTATTCTTTAATGGGCAGCACTCGTCACCTTATGTTGTTGTTGTTTCTCTCTCGATATTTGTAGTTGTAAACGTTGCTGCTACCGGCGCTCGATGACGCGACGACTGCGCGACCGACAACTGAGTGTTGTTATTGTTATTGTTGTTGTTGCTGCTGGTCCTGTTATGTGTACATACATATATAGCTTATGTATTGTTGCGATTATAATTGTTGTTGCTGGTTTGGGGGGCTGCTGCTGCTGCTGCTGCTACTGCTGCTGCTCGTCACCGCTGCTGCCTCTGACGCCTCTTTACGTAGTCAAACTGAAAAGCAATACTGACGCCGTCGACTGACTAAGCGGCAACGACACGACCACGACTACGACTACGACTACGACGACCATGTAGACAAACATACAAACATACACGCTACGTCGACGTCGAAGTCGAAGTCGTCGCAGCCGCACACGTCACCAGCCAGGCAGCCAACAGCAACAGCTAGCCAACTAGCAGCTAGCAGCGCCACTATTAGTGCTGAGCGCGTGCTCGTGCATTCGATTATTGTGTTGCGGTACGCACGAAAAACAACAAACAATCTACAAGGAGTTGACGTTTATTTCTTTCTAACTTTAATTCATTTGTGGTTAGCAAGCAATGAGCGTGTTTCAATAATGTCTCCGAGTCGTGATTAAAATACTTGTCACGCGTTCATTTCAGCTGCAGATGCGTATTTGACTACATTCATATGTATATTTAAATATTTCTCTCTCTCTATATATATATATATATATTTGTATATGCATAAGCATGTTTACATACATATGTACACATAAATAAGTATGCGATTGTGTGGTTCTTTGGCTGTTTCGTAATTGGCGTACTTTGTTATGTAGTATTTACACACATATATACATATGTACATACATACATACATACATACATACATATGTATAAGCTGCAGCCGCAGCAGCAGCAATAAATAAAAAAATCAAGCGAAACAACATCAAGAAGAAGAACAACAACAACAACGACAACAAACAATAATAATGGCAAAGCATGAGCGTTAAACGTTATCGTGGCCACGTCAAAGTCACGACGCTTCACGCTGACGTCGATGTCTATGTCGGCGTTTCCACACTCACCTTTCCCAATCTGAATCTCTCGCTATTTTGCTCTTGTCTGTGCATCTATCTCGCTTGCGCTCACTATTGCTGTGGTGGGCACTTACTCATGCAGAGCGTCGATAAGCACACACGGTCGAAATATTTTTAAATACCTAACGCAAAAGTCTAATTCAACATATGTATGTATGTACGTACGTATGTGTGCATACTTATGTACATATGCATATTATTTGCATATATATCTACATACACAGAGAGAAAGATACAACATACATACATACGTGTATTGCTCACCACACAAAGAAAGAGAGGCGCATGCACAGCTGACGACGACATGTGTGTTGTGTCCCGTTATCGCTTTCTGCTGCTTGTGTTGTGTTCCCTGTGTCTCTTGTTGCTGTTTAGCGCACAGTTATGGCGTACGACGTAGCAGAGGCGCGACGGCGACTGTGACGCAGCCTGCTGACTCGCTTGCACACACACACACACACACGCAGTGTGAACACTAACTCGCTCGCACATGCGTGTGAGCAATTCCAGCTGATTGGCGAACAAATTAATGTTGCATACTTTCAGGCATACGACAACATTAAATAAATCAAGCAATTTGTGTTTTTCATTATTGAAAATGCTATAATATTAATATTGCATATTGCCCTTAGCATTTAATTAGTGCGGCATTCAAATTGCCGCTAATCAATTGCTGTTAATCAGGTCAACGCTTTGTTTTTCAGCACATTGCAGCTGTGAGTTAACTGTAATTTCTTGTTCGCATGTAGCTAAAAACGGAAAAACGAACACAATACAATGCAACGCATAAAATGTAGTGGAAATGCCATGAGCAAAATTCAGGCAATTGTAACGAATTTGCAAAACAGTCAAGACCAGTCGGCAAACAGAGCTAACATTTCAATTTGGCCTGCTAGGCGTATGCGTAATGTAACAATCAATGCTAGCGCAGGCACCCTCACCCTCACCCACACCCACACCCACACACACACACACACCCACACCTGCCCAAATATAAACTTGGTTGTTGATACAGTTGACGCAGATATATTGAGCATTTTTCGTATGTGTTTTTGCTGGTATGTTGGCCCGGCATACATGACGTATGCTTCATAGGCATTGCATAAATTACGCATACGCAGCGTACTATTGCGTATCAGCTTGCTTTGCGTGTGCAACTGACAACGACAGCTTCTGCTAAAAAAAAACTAATGTCACCGGCAGCAGCTAAGTCGATTTCTGCGAAGCAACCCTTTTCTGTTTTTTTTTTTTGTTGTTATAGCCAAGCTGCGGCAGTAATGTGATTTGAAAGTGAGCTGCTGCTGGCATTTATTTAAGAGAAAATACGCAGGGAAGCGTAAAGCGGCGTACCTAATACATTTAAGGCCAAAAGCTGCCACCTAAGCAAAGCGATTCCATTCGCCCACACGCGCCCGTCAGCCATCAGCCATCATTCTGAGGCGCTAGGAAATCCATGCCCGCTGCCATGACGTCCACAGGTAGGCAAACAAACTTTCCACCCAGACTAGACAACAGTCACGGCCACAACCAGAATGCGAACGCGGGCACCAACCATAGCAAAAACAAAAAAATGAGTACAGCTCAGAGAGCGACAGGAATAAGTACGAATTATAATAATGCTGTCAAAATCTACCCGCAGCGCAATACTCTGTTCCCAGTGTATTACTGTTTGCAGTTGAGCAAATTGGCATAGCTTTAATATATATTTATAAATAAAATAATAAAAAATAAATAATAGTTTTGCTGCTTCTTCAATTTTGTATAACTCCTTTTCATGGTCTCTTCGATTACTTGCGCCTCGAAACCCAATGCAGACATTCTTGCATTCTACTGATGATTGTTGAAATTGTTGTCAAGGAAATTCAATCAGATGTTCAAGTTGAGCAAAAGGACGCTTTCTAGAAGAAATACAGAAGCTTGAGTTCGTTTACGAACCTTTGATTTGAGTTGTGGCCAAGGATCTCGATTGAAACCATGCAACAAAATCTCTATGATAATTTGGATGAGAATACTACTATTATTTTGACCGCAGCTGTATGCAGATTTTCATGACTTTATTTTTTTGCTTTTAAGGTAATGATTACCATTTGAAAGATATAGGCAGATTTTGATGATTTTATGCGTTACTTTAAGGAAAATAATTAGCAATTGATAGATAAATGCAGAAATTGATGATTTTATTTTTACTTTAAATACAATAATTTGTAATTGAAAACTATTTATTAAGAATCGAAAAATATAAGCAGATTTTACAAAGCTCTCTTTACTTTAAAGATTAAACTAAACAATTGAATTTCTAATTTGATGTTGTACTTGAAAGAATGTTCCCAAGGCAATAACAGACTTGAGATGAAATTTAAAGCAAATACTGCACAAAATCCATTTACTCTAATTTCAATTCAGAGCAGAGTATGCAGAGATGCTGAAAGAAGCAACAACAAAAGGATCAACTGCACTGACTGTGTGTGTGTGGGTGTGTGTGGGTGTGTGGGTGTGTGTTAATGTTTGTGAGTGTGTTCACGTGCAGGAAGTGTGGTATGTCAATAGAAAATGGTGGGAATGGTGAGGTCAGGTCAGAGAGGGTAGGTGTACGTGTATTTGCCAAAGGCCAACAGCCAACAATCAGAGCCCGGACTTGGTAAGAAGTCAAAGCGACCCTCAAACCAAGCACTCCCCATCCCCATCGCCATCGCCATCGCTATCCAGCTGTTTAGCTGAATAGCTGGCAAACGAATTCATTGATAACCTCTTTGAGCGCATCCCATATTTGCTGTTGCTAGGCAAACATGCAATAAGCTTTTATGGCAATTGCACAAAGAACACAAATGCGAACATCGAAAATATTTCATTCACTCTTTCATCTGCTTTTTTATACTGCATTTTTCAATCGAAAACTAATCAATTTTGTTCTCTTATTTTTCATTTTATTTTTTTATTAGTCACTTTATGTTATATTCATATATTGGACTTACATAGAAAATATTCTGAATAAGTGTGAGTGTGTGTGTGTGTGTGTTTGTTTGTTTGCTTAGTGTTGCTACGCGACAACTTGTTGCACGTCTCATAAAGGCGATAAACGACAATGTCGAAACGAAGCTCGACTTAAGTTGGGAATGGAGTATTTGCACTTGGAGCGGCAAACGTGAAGGAGGCGTGCATGAGACGTGAGCCCCTCACAAGTACACATACAGGAACAGGATTTGTGCAAACACACACACAGATGCACTCGAACGCCCACACTCATCTCCAAGATCACGATAGTGGGAGAGGTGTGCTGTAACCTAGAGTTATCTTGCCAGCTGCACTCAGCTCAAAGAAAAGCTCAAATACACACACACACATACATATATATATATATAAATATACATATATTAAATTTTCCAAAATTTATGAACAAAATGAGAACATTTATTCCGAATTGAGCTCTTCGTTCTGTTCAAGTACTTCTATATAGTTTAGCTCGAAAGGGGTATTCTTTTGAGCAACCTTGCCAGCCAATTGGCATGGTTACAGGGTATATACGCATAGATATATATATATGTATATATATACATATCTTGAAGTCACAATTTGTTTAATTAAGAAAGTTTTGTGTCTCAGAGCCGAACAAACTTGACCACCTTGCGGCTGCTCTTGCGCAAGAGGACCTTGCCCAGCGGTTGGCCGAATCCTTCGTATTGCTGATAGACATGGAGCCCGCGCACCACCGTTGCATGCACCACACCGTTCAGCCTTTGGCCCGCGTAGGGTGTGGCTGTCGTTTTGCTGGCCGTGTACAGCTCTTCGGCCGTAACGGTAAACTGTTCATCCGGATTCCAGATGCAGAAGTCGGCATCATAGCCTTCGGCAATGCGTCCCTTAAATCTGGACAAACCACATAGCTCCGCCGGTTGCCAGCACATCAGACGGTGCACATCCGCCAGACTCAGCGGCTTCTGCTCCTTGTTCTCCTCGTACTGTCTGCTGCGCGTCCACACAATGGGCAGACTCAGCTGCAGCGAACTGATGCCCGGCCAGGCGTTCATAAAGTTGCCACGTCCACGACCATAGGTTAGACAGCGGGCGCCCGGCGTGGCCGCGGAGTGATCGCTGGCGATCATCAGCAGTCCATCGTCCGGCTGGTGCAGTGCCTGCCACAGGCCTGTCTGGTTGGAGCGCTCTCGTATGGGCGGCCAGGTCTTGAACTCGGTGCCACAATCGGGCACTTCTTCGGCACAGAGTGCCAGATAATGTGGACACGTCTCGGCGCTCAGCTGAGCACCCGCTCCCCGTCGGCGGCAATCCGCCAGCAGAGGCAGTGCCTCCGCGCAGCTCAGATTCATAATGTGGAAGCGGCGCTGTTGATTCTGTGTGGCCAGTCGGCAGATTAACTGCACCGCTGCCAATTCCATGGTGGCGGGTCGGGTGCCCAGAAAATTGGCATAACATTTCGATGAGGACTCATCCGGCAACACTGTCACCTGCCGCAACTCTGGCAACTCTGCGTGAAACTGCAGCGACAATGGATTGAGTTAAATACAATACAATTTAAGATCGAGTTTCTATATATTTTTATATAGTTACCGCTATAACTGCCTCGATTTCTTGATCATTGAGCTGCTTGAGCGCATCTGTTAGCTGCGGCTCGCTGATGGCCGCAAACTCATCGCTGACGGGCGGGGCGCTGCCACAGAGTGTACACTGGAGTCCGATTACGCCGGCGGCGAGCAGCGGCGCCAGCTGATCCCCATTGCCGGGCACCAGGCCGCCCCAGAAGCCAACATCTATGTAAATCTTGCCACGGGCAGTTGACGTCTTTGCTTTTAGCGCCTGCACGCTACAAGTGGTTGGCGTGGCATTGCTGCGGGCGTTACACTGTAGAAAGGTGTGTGTGTGTGTGTGGGGTGTGAACGCCAAACAGCATAGACTGTTACTCACGTGGGTCGATCGATGATTGTGGTGAAGCCGCCGGCAGCAGCCGCCTTAGTAGCCGACACAAATCCCTCCCAGTCCTTGCGGCCGGGCTCATTAATATGCACATTCGCATCGATTAGTCCCGGCATCAGCACCAGATCCCCAAAATCATAAACAGCCTCCGATTCCGTGTTGTACAGGTAGCTGTTCACTTCCTGCGATGTGCGTAGGACTGAGAGGGAGACAGAGAGAGAGAGAGTGAGAGAGAGAGAGAGAGAGACATCAAATGATAATAAGCAAATAGACATGTGACCATCTATCTCTCTCTCTGTCTATCTCGTACGCTTTCTGTAGCCCAACTCTGTCTTTTTCTATATCTTTAAATGCCCATATCTTTGTGCCTCCGTCACTCTTTCTATAGCCCTTAACATCTATCTGCAGCTCTATGTTAACATTTATTAGAAGAAGTTTAATGGGTACATGCCTCGGAGGAGATTCTGATAAGAGCCATGCTCAATATGAGCCTAATGCTTTGCACATTAAATGATGCTTCTAGAATTTAGTCAACGTTGACAACGTTCGTGCATAATAAAAGAATTGAAATTCCCCCCTTTGGTGGGCGTGTCTCACACTCTTTAGAATTCGTTGCAAGTTCAACAAGCAGCATTTGTTTTTAATCTACATTGTTAGTTATGAACTATTGGGATATATGCGAAGAATTATAGCACTTTATCAGAAGATGTCTCAAAAGAAGAGCACAACTACTAAGTTCAATTGTGGTTAAGAGATTTTTAATTGCACAGCTGTTTAGATAATAATACACCTCCGTCTCTCTCTCTCTCTCTGTCTCTTTTGCTCTCGTTCTCTTTCTATATTTATATATCTAGCGAAGAGCAACGTAAAACTAATAAAACCAAACAAGTGTCAAACATATGCTCATCAGAAGATAGCATACATCACACATCAATATATATATATATATATTTATATATATATATATATATATACAAACACATACGTAATAAATAAATAATAAGTTTCGCTTACCGCGTCGAACGATTCCTTGGGTGTCCACAACAATGCCACCGTGGAGGGGCGCCTCGTGGCTGCCATCGCCCAGATAAATGCGCCTGCTGAGGAACAGCAAATCCATTAAGGCGATCTTTTCGAATCGGTAACCAAGAGAAGACTGAAAATTCGGAAAATTACTTGGCTATTTCTGTGCGAAATAAAGAGATCAAGATTGTCTCTCTCTCTCTCTCTCTCTCGCACTCTCTTGACATCCATCTCGATTGCATTAAATAGGATGGCGAACTTTTAAAGCTTTACAGTCGGCAAACAGAGAAGATACAACAATAATTTAATTGCGGCCAAAATTCGACCAAATCAAATCTCAAGTGTGTGTGTGTGTGTGTGTGTATTGATATATACATGTGTATCTGCCTGTCCGAAGCTAACTTTTTTACTGAGTGCTGGACACTTACTATGTTTTTTTAGTTTTCCCTTTTTTTTTTGCTTGAATTTGTTGTGCTTTTGTTTGGATGCGTGTTCTAATTTGGCGAGCATTTGGTGGCGCTACCCAGCGGAAGCTTTTCGCTTGTTTCTTTAAATTGTGCTTTTTTGTTATTGTTGGTTTGTTTCTGCTGCTTGTTTGCAGTTGAGCTGTAAAAATTGGAAGGCAAAGCATCAAAACGAAAACGAAAATGAAACCGAAACCGAAACCGAAAACGAATCGCATCGAGCGAATACACAAAACACGAACACGTCGCTCCGCTTGCATGTGTGTGTCTCTGTGTGTGTGTGCGTGCTTTCCCGAATGCATAAGCCTAGAGCCGAATGGCAAATGAAGTTCCACTTGTTGTTGCTGGCGGCGCTGCTGCAGAGGGCTCGGCGTTGTTGTCGACACTGTTGCGTCTCTGCTGGTAGATACACACGGATAGGAAAAGGCCATGTCCTTAACACCAACACCAGCATGCTGACGAGGCTGCAGCAGCCGAAACAGCAACAATGAGAGTCAAGGCCCACCAAAACCGGCCCCATCATCAAATAGAAATTGAAGCGATTTGAGTTCGAAATGCCTTCCTCGTTCACATCTTCGTCGTCCTCGTCGTACTCATTGTCGTTGTTGTAGTCGTCGTTTGGCATTGTCCTTGCCATCGTTGGCTGTGTCGTCGGTTCGTCTCGCAGTGGCCATCGTTAGGCGCGTCATTCTCGTTCTCATCGTCGTCGTCGCTGGCAACAGAACTCAGAGTTGGCGCTGCCGTGCGCCGCATCCTAAACTTCACTCCGCTCTGGGCAGCCTCGCGACAACCAGTTGAAGTTCTCTATTGAGCAGCTACCTTGACGCCAAATCTTCCAGTTCAAGTTTAAATCAAATTCGAATACTAATCCAAATTAATTCACTTTAATTGAACGTTAATTTAACAATTTTACCTAATCCAATTGGCCGCACAAATTCGAAATTAAACAAAACAAAACCAAAAACAAAAAAACAAAAAACAAAGAGAATCAAACAAAACAAGTATTTATTCAAGTGTGTAATTTGAGTTTAACGGTTAATCTCGCTGTGAATTGGTTCTAACGGTGAGCGCAAAAATTTCAAATGTCATTTCTCATATGAGTTTGCCCATGGCATTAAATACTTACATGACATCAAAGTTACAATTTTTTTGCATTTTTTTTAATGTTGTTCAGGGCATAAATTCAGCAAACGCTTAATAAAATGACGAGTGACAAGAAAAACTAATTCGTAAATACAAAAATACAAAAAAAAAAAAATTATTAATTATGATAATATATAAATAAAGTTGAAATTATAAATAAAACACGTATTTGCATTGCATTTAGGGATATTGTTCGTTGTCCCTTTTTATCCCCAAAAATTATATTACAAACATTTTTTATTCGATTTGTAATGCTGTGAATTTTACTCATAACCAACATTTTATATACGCATATTTTTTTTAATGATACGAATATATCTATATATATATTTTGTAAGCATTTGATTTATCAGCCTTCATCCCTTCGCGAAGTATTAAAGCACACACTTTTTAAGCTCATATTAAAAATGAATTATTACGTGAATACTTATTTTAAGCAGCTTAATGCTCTCAATCTGATGTGAATATGTTTTTCTCGTGTGTATAGGTGTGACCTTTTAAGAACGTATTTAATTTTGTGTGCTGCTTCTAAGATTTCTTTTACCAGTAATTTTATAGTACAGAAATTCAGTACTAGTGCCGTCTTTGACTACATCCATCCTCCTACCAGTGATCCCAATGGGGACACTCTTTCTTCCAAATGCCTTAGATAACGCATACGCCGAGTAATGCAGATATTTGTGTACTATGCACATACATGAATTTATTGGAATTCTGTTTCAATTAGGGATGTGAATTTGTATTGCATTGCTTTGATTAATTTATTTTCCAGCTTAACAATCAGTCCGGTATTCAATGAATGAGTACTGACAACTTTTGACAAGAAATCAATTTGCATTAAATTGTAGCAAATATTCGATAAAATACAAAATATTCACCTAAGTTATTTGCAAATGGATTTTCATGAATTCCATAGGTTGACAATATATATACATATATATATATTTGGATGCTTAATATTTACATGGAAATCGATTTTTTAAAGTTTTGAGCTGGCAAAAGAATGTTTAATTTAGCAGAAATCTGCAAATACGAAAAGTTATTCGGCTTAGGTTGCCAAAACATAACTTATTCAACTATTTAGCTGGCAGCGTTTTTGGAGTTTCAGTGTTTTCTTTGCCAGTCGTAATCAGGGCATAAATACATTATTGTGGTTTTCTGTATTACTTGGGTAAAGTTGATTAACACTCGGCAAATATTTATAAATATAAATGCTCTTAATGAATTCGGAATGATATTTATGCTTTCTGCTGCACAGAAAGTAAATTATTTTATTTATTTATTTATTTTTTTTGTATTGGTTTTTAAATTGAAACACAATTGGAATGCATTGTGCAATTGGTTTGGTGGAAATGCCTCTCTTTGCATACCATTTATTTGTTGGTTGTAATGGAATTGCAGCTTAATTGTTTGCTGTCTTCGTCGCGATTATCAACATAAACGAATCGAAACTTATTGCCTCAGGTCTGCAGCATGCACAATAAAATCCATTTTATTGCGCCGCCAAAAAGTATGAAACTCATATATGTATATATATATACATATATATATAAATGTATATATATATATAAATGTATCTGTGAGTGTATGTTTGACCGTGTTTGTGTGTGTATTGTGCAAGTTGTCGAAAGTGATTTATATACGATTTAATGCGTTTCTGCTGCCGATTCTGCTGCTGTCGTTTCCATTATTGTTGCTGTTGTTCTGTTGACAGCTGTTGCATTTGTTGTTGTTGCTGCTGTTGCTGCTGCTGCTGCTGCTGCCGTTGCTCTTACTGCTGCGATTTTCCACACAAAATTAATTGCCTGTTAACCATTTTGTAACATTTTTCAAGTACCACATGCCAAATGATTGTGTGCCGGGCCGTGACAAATAAATTTTACAAGCCATGCAAAAAAACAAGCAACAAGACGAACAAACAAAAAAAAGAGAACCAAACAAACAGAAGTCCAACATCAGAAGCAACAACGGCAAGAGCAGCATCAGCATTAGCATCAGTACCGCATATAAATAATAATAAAGTGAAATAAAAGCAGCGTCAGGTAATAAAAATAAAATATAAGAAAGAAAGAAGCGAAACAAAGAGGGGATTCCGAGTGTGTGTGTGTGTGTGTGTGTGTGTGGCACACAGCTAACGATAGCGTGGGGAAGCCAAAGTGTCAAGTAAGCAAACATTTAATTTTGATTTATTATTAATTTTCACGCAGCACGCACACAAATAGACAAGCCCAAACCCAAACACAGCGCAGCAACCAGCCCCTCCCCCCACACCCCTCGCTTCACCCACTCAGACCCCTCTTTGGCACTGACTGCGTTTAAAACCGTAATAGCTTTATGTTTATTTTGTTTGGTTCGCTCTTAGCTTTTTGTTCTTTGTTTGCTTTATGTTTTTTTTTTCGTAATTTTTTTGTGTTTTTTTATTTGATTATTTTTATGTATATTTTTTCTTTTGCTTTTGGTAAAAAGGCCAAAATAAAGGTGTTTTAATACCGTTAACAGCACACGCCAAATTATTGTAATTACTGTTTTCCATTACTTGAGAGTTTGTTGGCCAAAGAACAGGAAACGCAACCAAAAGCATTTAACACACACACACACACACAGCGAGACACACTCAAACAGAGCGACAAAAAGTGTAGCATACAAAAAGGGGCAACGAGAAGAAAGAGGCAAAATGGCAAAAGTGGCGCAAAGTTGTGCAAAAACGTGCGTTTATTTGCGTAAAAACTTGCCATGCCTCCCCATACCTCCCCAGCCCACCTGCTCCGCACTCCACTCGTACTCGATTTGTTGTGTTAGGGGAAGGGGAAGGGGAAGGGGGTACGGGGCACTTGATCTGCTGCCCATCTCGCTTGCTCTTTGTATCTCACTGTGTGTGTGTATGTGTGTGTGCTGGCTTAAATTTTTGGTTGTAAGAAACAAAAATAAAACAAAACAAAAATTGTTTTAATCCCGCTTTTGTATCTCTTTCTCTATCTCTATCTCTCTCTCGCTCTCGCTCTCTCTTTCTGTGTGTGTGTGTTCGACGGACAGCTGTAGCGACTCGCCCAACAAGTTTCGCCTCCTGCCTGGCTGCCTTTTATCGCTGTTGCCTTTTTGTTTTATGTTTATTTTTGTTATCGTCTTTGTCGTCGTTGTTGCTGTTGTTGTTGTTGTCGTTGTCATTCTCTTTGTCTATGACTTTGTCTTTGTCTTTGTCTTTGGCATTACTTTTAATGATGTTCGCTGTCTAGATCTAAGGCTTTAATTGTATTGATTAAATGCTTAATTGTGATGCGGACGAAACAAAAAATGAGAAAAACACACACACACACACATAGACAACAAAAAAAAAGAAAAAAAAAGCAAAAAGGGAAATAAAATAAAAAAGGCCAAGAACAATAACAAAATGGAAGCAAAAGCCAACATTTAATTGTTATTAACAAGCGCGCATTAATTACTATGATTAAAAACGAAACGAAATGCGACGAACGGAACATTCACAATAATTAGTCCGATGGACGCTCAGGTGTTTAATTAAAACTAATAGAGTCAAGCGACAACAGAGAGCCGATTGGCCCGACTGGCTACAGAACAAGCGCAGACAATTTAAACGTGAAACAATTAAAGGCGATGGCATAAAAGCCAAGGCGATAGCAGAAACAGAAACAGAAACAGAAGCAGCAGCAACACAAACATCATCAGCAGCAGCAGCAGCAGCAGCAGCAGCAGCAGCACCAACTGCTACAAGTAAATAACAATGGCAGTGCAGCAACAGCAACAGCAACAGCAGCAGCAGCAAGAATAACAAGGTACATCAACAACGTACACCAACAACAGCAACAAGAAGAACAACAACAGCGGGATAAACAATGAAACATTGAATTTTGTTGTAGTTTTACTAACGATGCAGCAAAAGTTAAGGCATTTATGAAGTGTGGCAACTGCTGCTGGGGCTGCTTGCTGCCTCGCTTCCTCTCTTCTCTTATCGTGTCCTCTCCATGCCACTTCTCTCTATTGTTCTATTCTATGCTCTACGTTTCCATTCAGTTATGCTTTGCTCTGCTTTTGTCTGTCTATCTGTCTGTCTGACTACCTGTCAGTTGTGGCCAAGCCAAGTCAGGGCCAACGGGGTAGCAACAATTGTGCGGTCTGTGGCAAGATATGTGGCAACTTATATGCCAGGCTCTTTAGCAGCGGCCTTACCATTAGCGTCCACGTCAAATTTTCCAATTAATAATGCAAGACAAAACTATTAGCCCATTAATTGAGAGCATTTAAATATTTGATATATGATTGCTGGTAATTGCAATTGAATTATTCAAAGTATTCACTTTGCAACTAGCAAAGTAATCGAAATGACTGATTGAGCTATGCATTTTGATTTAATGAGAACTCTAATTATGTATTTATATACAGTAAAAAACTGAACAATAAATAATTATTGAATATATTTAGATTTATATAAATTTTATATATCTTATATTGATTAATAAATTAATAAGTTTCGAATGTTTCTGTCAGGTTTGTCAACGAGAATGACAAACTTTAAAGTTTTCTCAAACTGAAATTCGTTTTTCTCGTGCACATTTTTCTTGACTTTTCGCCTACCAAAAGGTGGCTGAAAATAAAAGCCAGCTTGTTATTGACACTTAGATAAAAGTTGAATTTTTGCGACCCGTTCGTTGACAAGCTGTTGTCAACTTGTTGACAGAGTCGCACATCATTTTCACACTTTGTTGACAACTGGATGAGTGAGTGGGTGAATGTGTGAGTGAGTGAATCGAAATGTGTCCCATATATATTTAAATAAAACTGGATGTCAACTAATCAAACATGCATTTGCCAGCATTCCCAATAAACGCACAATTACCTAAGTAATTGCATATGAGGATTTTCTTTCTGTGCCGTGTTGAAAACAATTCTCAATTATTTGCCGTA